GAGGAAGGCAGGACGCCGCCCTAAGGAATTGTACACAACTGAAGAAGAAATTACTTTGTATGATTTTCGTTGTGAAGCATTGCATGGCAGGCTCTCTTCCCCATGATGTCAAAGCACACGCGAAGGCTAGGCGGTGGGGAAGAGCAGGGAAAGCTAGAGGAGTGGTGATCAGCTGGATCAGGCACACCTGGCTAGTATTGATGAAACAGAGGCGGCGTTGGTATATGCCACTATTATGTGCGTTTGTACCACAGGTGATTGACACTTAGTATCGTTCCAGAAACAGCGAGGACACACATGGGTCATTTTAATGCATCGACGTTAAGAAAAATCAAACATCGGCAGCGTTGACCTGACGAATGCAAAGGGTTCAAGTAAGAATCAAACCCAAGCATTTTGCTTAGCAATCAAACATTCAACAAAGAGCCACGCCAGGGAACTACTTTTGTTCGCGAAACGTGGTTGCAGTGCTGGCTACTCAATTTTATAAACATTACATACATTTATAAAATACCAGTCTATCAAAGGGACCGAAACTCTCGGTGGCAGTGACATCAGTGACGTAATGATGTAATGCGCAGTTGGACAGTCCGGCACTCGCTGTTCTTGGGTTCATCAGTGGTCTACAGTCTGGCGATGCAGATTATAAAGGAAAGACTGCAGCCATAGATGGAGGATGAGGGGGTGCTAGATGAACTCCTGAATGGATTTCGGAAACACAGGAGGTTGGAAGACAATCTGTTCTCACTGACACAGTGCATCAAAATAGCAAAAAAGGAACACAAGCCTTTGTGGCTAGCATTTCTGTATATTTTTTTTGTAAGAGGACTTGTGGGGAATACTGGACACACTAGGTGAGGAAGATGAAGTCGCTAATTTTTTAAAGGAGATCTATAAAAGTAACAAGGTACTTATAAAATGGGAAAAGCAGGTATCCAAGCCCACAGAGATAAAACGGGGGCTTAGGCAGGGGTGTCTACCTCTGTCATCCTTGTTATTCATGATGTACATACAAAGATTAGAGGCCAAATTAGAGGGGAGTGAACCGGCTGCAAATACATGTGTGACTACTCCTCCGAGTCGGTCTCCTTCTCGTAACATATTTGGTGGAGCTGCTGGGTAGGCAGGCCGGACAGAATGGTGGGCGACCGGAAAGGATGTATGCGAGTCTTGAGTGGTCATGTTAAAAGTCGCGAGGGAGCATCCGCTTGGGAGTTCCGTGGCGAGGATGGGGATCGCACAACTGACCCTTCCCTGACCCCTATTCTCCAATCACGTTGCCCCTCATCCAAGTCCGGCAGGAAATCGCCAGCTTGGAAATTTACTCTATTTCACCACCTCCCCGCACCGACTTCCAGCCCCAATACACACTTGCACGTCCCTTCCCGATTAGCTCTCCCTTATCGTTCTGTAATCCGTCTGCATGGCGAACACACGATGACGAGCCGATCTGCTTCTCATGTCACCGAATCGGGCACATTTCTCGCCATTGCAGAACTCGCTGGGGTACTCCTGCACAAGCTTCCTCTCGTACCTTCCATGCACGTCCCGCCTATCGCCATGAGACCAGCCGCGACCATTTTGTCCAGGAACCTGCTACTGAACACCGCTACTCCCGCTCTCCATCCCCCCAACGTCGCCAGTCTCGTTCTCTCCACTGCCCCAGCGACCATCTTCCACCACAGAAAATCCTCTCTTGACGATACAGACAAAACAGAACCTTATAGACGTACAAGTAGACGGCGTACATGTCACTGCTCTTGTCAACACCAGCGATCAACTTTTCGTGATGACGAGTGGTTTTCGCCGCAAGCTCAAGAAGGATCTCACACCTGCTAGTGCTGATGGCCGACAACAAGGAAGATTTGCAGAGTTTGATGGACACTTGCAGTAATGAGGGAGATAGGTTAGATTTTAGATTCAGTAAGGAAAAATCAGCCGTCATGTTTTTTCATGATAATGAAGGTAGTGAGCTTAGAATACAGAAGGTCACGCTAAGGATGACAGATAAATACAAATATCTGGGTGTATGGATAAGCAATGGGACCGAGTACAAACACGAAATGTACATAACAACTAAAGGTAACACGAATATAGCGGTGATGAAAAATAGGGCACTGTGAAATCGCTATGGGTATGATTTGTGAGAGGAATATGGAAAGGGGTCATGGTTCCTGGTCTGACTTTCGGCAATGCTGTCTTGTTCATGAGATCAAAGGTTCACGCAAGGTTAGAAATTAAGCAATGTGTAATAGGTAGGCTTGCTCACGGGAATACACCAAATCGGGGAGTACAAGGTGATATGGGATGGACATCATTTGAGGGCAGAGAAGCTAGCAGCAAAATAAAATTTGAGAAGCGATTGAGACAAATGGGGGGGGGGCATTGGGATAGGGAGGTTTTCAGCTACTTGTACATGAAGAATGTCGATACAAAATCGAGGAAGCGAACCAGGAAATTGACGGGCATATACTTAGAAAACAGCAGGGGGCCACACCAAAAAGAACTATCGGTTAAAAAGAAGTAAAAGGAAACGGAGACCAAGTAAATGTGGAGAACTGGCATGACTAAAAAGTCCGCGCTAGAGCTTTATCGAACTTTTAAGCAGGAAATTGCCAGGGAAAGAATCTATGATAATACTCGGGGTAGTTCTCTACTACACGGTATGCTGTGCGTGTGGAGACACGGTATGCTATGTGTGTCGAGAGGAGGAGCAAACTGCCGAACACTTGATAATGTTCTGTGATGGGCAAGTTCCTCGCTTTGGGATTCGCTCGGAGGATTTCTAGCTGGACGGTCGTGCCCTCGCGATCTCCGACGACAGCATAGCTCCCGCCGACTGGTACGCCCTCCGCAGTCTCCTGCCGCCGTGAAGCTCTCGCATTGTGGTGCCCCGTACTTGGACTGCTTCGACCAGATCCCCACTTCCCCATCTCCTTCTATTTTCCGCCGCTTGCCTCTCTATTTCTTCATCTATTTCCTTCTATTCTTTTTATCCCTCCTTCCCCTGCACCGTGTCGCCCTTGAGGCAGACAGAAGTTAGGTGCCCTTTTCCTCTTCCTTACAACTACTCACCACCAGAGCACAGAACACATAATAACAGGGCGAGTTCTTTAAAGCATAGAGTTTCCCAAAAGTACGAAACTCTATGCTTCAAAGGACTAGGGTGTAGGCTAGTAACATTGGGTGTAGGGACATGGAGGGCAAAACATTGAAAAAGGTTATCTGATTGGTGTCTACAATCAAGGCACGAGTGAAAATTAAATCTTTCAATGCAAAGTGCCAGTGCGTAATTTTACCATTTAAAGGGGGGGAAAATGAACCTAGTTTTTGTTCACTGAGTATTACGGCTAGATGGCGCTAGCCGCCGCCCGACCTCATTTTCCACAGGAAAAACTCATTGATCAGGTGCTACCAGCATTAATGTACGCAAATGATATAGTGCTAATGGCTGACAGAAAGGAAGATATGCACAGATTGATGGACATCTGCGGTAATGAGGGAGAGAGGTTAGATTTTAGATTCAGTGAGAAAAAATCAGCAGTCATGATTTTTAATGATAACGAAGGTAGTGAGCTTAGAATACAGGGGGTCACGCTAAAGATAACAGATACATACAAATACCTGGGCGTATGGATAAGCAATGGAACCGAGTAACTAAGGGAGTACGAAATATACGTGACGACTAAAGGTAACAGGAATGCAGCAGTGATGAAAAATAGGGCACTGGGGAATTGCAATAGGTATGATGTTGTGAGAGGAATATGGAAAGGGTTTAAGGGTTTTGGGCTGACGTTCGGCAATGTGGTCTTGTGCATGAGATCAGAAGTTTAAGCAAGATTAGAAATTAAGCAACGTGGAATAGGTAGGCTTGCTTTAGGAGCTCACGGTAATACACCAAATCAGGGAGTACAAGGTGATATGGGATGGACATCATTTGAGGGCAGGGAAGCTAGCAGCAAGATAAAATTTGAGAATCGATTAAGAGAAATGGGGGAGGAGCGTTCGGCTAGGAAGGTTTTCAGTTACTTGTGCATGAAGAATGTCGATACAAAATGGAGGAAGCGAACCAGGAAATTGACTGGTAAATACTTAGAAAACAGCAGGTGGCCAAACCAAAAAGAGGTATTGGTTAAGAAGAAAGTGAAGGAAACGGAGACTGACACGTGGAGAATTGGCATGATTAAGAAGTCCGCACTAGAGATATATCGAACTTTTCAGCAGGGAAATTGCCAAGGAAAGGATCTATGATAATACTCGGGGTAGTTCTCTACTGTTTGAGGCCAGGACGGGGGAGTATTACGAACCAAGACATATCTGGCCAAATACGAAGGGGTAGACACGGTATGCAATGCGTGTGGAGAGGAAAAAGAAACTGCGGAACACTTGATAATGTTCTGTAAAGGGCTTCACCCTATAGTTCAGGATGATGGCGCAGAGTTTTTCAAAGCACTGGGGTTTAGGGACAGTGAGGGCAAAATAGACTTTAAGCGGGTAGACTTAACTAAAAGGGGGTTATCTGATTGGTGGCTAAAGTCAAGGCACGAGTGAAAATTAAACCCTTCACTGCAAAGTACGAATCTTCAACCTCACTATTTAAAGAAAAAAAAGATAAATCTAATGGTTAGTTCACTAAGTATTACGGCTAGGTGGCGTTAGCCGCCGCCCAATTTAAAGGGTGCAGCCACGACGATAGTTTTAGCGCGAGCACAAAACGACGTCACAGAGACAAGAAGGACACAAAAGACACGTGTTTTATGTTTGCCTTTCGTGTCCTTCTTGTCTCTGTGTCGTCGTTTTGTTCTCACGCTATAACTATTGTCATGCCATACCAACTAGCCCAAGCTGCCACACTTCTAAGGTACAGCCACATCCATTCACTCATCCATCCACTCATCCATCCTAATGGGTACAGAGGTGTTCTGCTGTGGTACAGCCATATCAGTCCATCCATCCATTCTTCGCATCTGGTTTTTGCGGCCGTAGCCATAGAGGAAGAAAATATGGGCGTAGCAGCCGTAGCGTCTGTGGTGAGGCTGTCAGCCGCCTTGTTGTAGAAATAATGGCGCTGTCTCCACCTGTTCTCATGGAAGTAGGCGCCCAGTTGCCGCTTGTAGACGTGCTGGAAGTGTTTTAGACAGCTGAACCGATCGTTCATTTGACGCCGAGAATGTCGAATGCCGGCAGCGTTGCATCTCGAGGACGCGGTCGTGGCAGAGGCCGCGTCAGGTATGTTTGCCCTTTTATTATTATTATTTTTTAATCTCTCGCAATGGTTGTGGGGTAGGCGTGTGTGTGTGTCATGTGTGGCCGCTTGAAAATGGAACACAGTGAGCGATCTCGTGCGGCTCTGCGATCTCCGTCATACGAGGGATCACGCAAGTGATTTGCTAGCCAAAACGGAGGCGACTCTAGCAATGACACAGGTAGTTGCGGCCTTTCTACGAGAGGTACGGCACCGTAGTAATGCATTAAACAAAATGAGTGGCCTGTTTTATCGTGCGTCGGATGCGACGCACCTAGATCACGAGGACGGGCGCCCGAAGCGCGGGCCGGGAAGGATGAGAAAGTAGAGGTTTTTAGCAAGCCATAGAAACATGATCATAGATCTCCTAGGAGACAAGACAAGAAACACGTCATGGAAATACGACACGGTTCCTTTCCGTTTGCGCGTACAATGGTCGCGCATGCGCACTCGTGAGCCGTTTCTGTGGTTTCGCCTTTCCGTAGCTTGCTAAAAACCTCTAGTGACTCACTGGAGACCCTGGCGGAAACGGGCGGAAACTGACCCGGTGGTGGTGGTAGTGGTTAGAAGATGGGAAAAGGCACCTAATTTCTGCAACGCGGTCGGGAGCACGGCGCAGTGCCTAAAAGTGACCCGGGTGGAAGCATGGCTAATGTATACATTTGTACAACTCATTCTGTGGAGCCAGAGAAACGGTCTCAAAATCGCAACTGACACCACATCACCCCCCCCCCCCCCCCCCCCCTTGAATACATAGTGTTCATGTGATTTCACTTCCGCCGTTGTCGCCCTCTCCCGCCATGCGTGGGTACCTCTCTGGGTACCTACGGCAGTTCGCGTGCTGCAGCGCGGTTTGTTGGGGGCTTTTCATCTGTTGCTGTGTACGATGTTGAAAGAGAAACATTGTGTTTTTTTTGTTGTCGTACTTTAACGAGCTCATCGGTCCAGGAAGTCCTTGTTTGTTCACTTGATACAAGACCAGAAAATCAAGGTGTGTGACCCTTATACCAGCCACCGCTTACACTGGCTGCCCGCCACGGCCTACGAGGGCCCAGTATCCCGCTTTCACTACAAACACTACAAATTGCATGGCGCAAGAACAAGTGAAAGCCCAAAGTCTCTCGAGCCGCAATTTTAAGAGTGGATGAGCGAAGCGCAGCAGCTCCCATAGAAAACGAGTCGTGCAGAGCTAGGCAAGGTTACAAGAGATATAATATTAATATATTGCTGCGGCCCACGCCACCAAAATAGCAGCTCCCCCCCCCCCCCTCCAAGTATTTTAAACAGTGATGTTGAGCATTTGTGGAAACAGCCGAGGAAAATATTATGCGAGGCCGATAGAGACTTCGCGTGGTGCGTGCCGCAGTAACGCCGGTCATCACTTTATTTTTCGCGTATGTTTGACATCTTTTTCACCTTGTATTTTACTTTTTTTGTACGCTAATGTACAGTGGAGTCCCTGAAAATGATCGACACAGTGTTAGAGAATTAATTGACCAATTTTTCAAAATCCTGATTCTCCCCAACTCGAACACATCGGCTATACTTCAAAGTGAAGTAATATTGTTTCGCATTCATTTTCACAGTTTGTTTCAATGCAATACCTGAATTTACGTGATCGCCATCGCTATTTTAACCTCCTTCCTGACACGCTGATTGTGCACGCAGTGGTCGCGGACAAGTTTGTATGTACAGTATCTTGGTAAGCTATCTCTGTTTGCAGGTAAGTGCTTGGCTATGGCACTTACCCGGAATGAAGTTGCACCTGAAGACACAAACAATCACAGAGTTTCTTCAAGTAGTTTTTTTTTTTTTTGTTAATACGCGCCAGCCAAACACGCCAGTACTTTTCAGAAAATTGCAATGTGCGTTCTCAATGTTAGGTAATAACTTAGGCGAAGAAACACCCCGAAGCTCTGCTCCCTCTTCGGGGACTACTAAATCAACTTGCCTCACTAGTAGTCCTCGAACTTGCATCGTGAGGCAAAACTAAACGGACACAAGCACGAGGAGACAACACGGCAGCGGTAGGCGACGGAGTCGGTAGGTACCCGGGCATGTCGGTGGCGCGTTTCGGGAGTGACGAATGGGCGCTGCATGACGCATGTGCACACTATGTATAGAAAAGCATGCAAAGGCAACACGTAACACAAGCAAAATGTAACACACTGCACGTATCACAATGAAGAATAAGAATGTACAGCAGGCACACTAACACACCAAAGCAAGGCACACAAAAGAAAGGCACATTGCCAAGTGCATCACCACACAAAGCAAGGCACATTGAAAATTGCGCCACCACATCATCCCCTCCCCCAAGAGAGGATGTCCGCATAGTCACTGTCATGTTTCAGTCTCCGGTGTCTGGGCCTGTAGTGATGCCGTTTCTATGCAAGCAGGTGGATTTGTAGCAGCCCTAGATGTGCCGGCGGGGTAGATGTGTGAACGCGGAGAAAGCGTCTTCCCCTGGCCTCTGCAGTGCATTTTCGGTACTGTCGGTGCCAAAATTCAGTCATGAAGGTCAGGTACAGCAGGGGCATGTTAGGCACTACAGACACCTTACTGCAAGTGGGCACAGTGGAGGCTGGCACAGCATGTGAATGTGCATCCGAGGCACGAAAAGCTGTGGCACTCTTCAATTGCAGCAGAAGTATGCACCACAGTAAGCATGACGATTGTAGCAGGAACATCACGAGGAAGCACTGTCCGTACATGAGTAGGTGCAGAATTGGTCGTAGCAACAGATCCGACCTGAGCAGGCATCACCGGAGCAGGAGCATTCTCTCCCGGCAGGGCCAGCATGACGCTCTAACAAACAGGCATGTCCTTGTGTGATGCAATTGGAGCAGATGCAGTTGGGACGCTAGCCTGTGGAGCATGGATGGTGGTAACATGCCCAGTCGAAGTAGATGTCGTTGACGTACAAGAAATGGCCTTTCGGCCCAATTTGTCAGCAGGTGCATCCCTTGTGGAACGGCAGACACTTCCGTAATTTTCTGTCCTTCCGCAATGCACACAAGTCCAGGGCCATGCAGGGCAAGCGGGAGCACGCTCCTACGCGAACTGACGGCGAGACTGGAGAAACGGAGTTGGACGCGTTGATAGCCAAGGGAGCAGTCACTGTCGGCGAGCAGACGGCACCGGCTTGTGAAGCAGCTGGAGAAGGAGGAACGCTCCGAAAGGTGGGAGGAACGTCGCCAAGAGGTGTCTGACGCGAAGAAATAGCGTCGCTTGGAAGGGCAGCCAGTTGTTGTAATGTGCAGTTGATGCGCTCCTCTTCTTTGACAAACTTTTCTCCGTAGATTCAGGGACGCGATTCCTTCTATAATTTGGTCAAACGCCAGCACGTTGGTACTTGCATCAAAATTGCAAAGTCGAGCGAGCCGTTAAGTTCCAGAATGAAGTGCTCTGCGGTCTCGCCTGGTTGTTGTCGTAGGGTCTTTAATAAGGCATGCAGGCACGTTGGATCGACTTGCTCATAGAAAATCGTGTCCAACTGCTGGAGCGTCGCAGCACATGAATCTTGCACGGCCTCTGCCGGGATTGCATGGGCCACTGCCGGAATCGGTTTGTCCTCCACCACACCAGGTTGGAGTTTAAAGCTTCAATGCCTAACGCGTTCAGGAGCAATGCTTCATTGTGCTTCACCGTGGCGTCCCTGGCAGCGGCGTCAATGTATACTTGAAGAAGCGGCTGCCACTGTCGCCATGGGATAGGAGGCCTACCGGGGCACTGCAGGAACAGGGGCGGAGGTACAGCAGCATACATCCCTGTGGAGGAAGGTAGTTGAATCCGAGGACCGAGTCAGACGCGTAGCCCAGTGTGCATGGTCTTGGCTGTCACGAACTGGTGATCGTCAGAAAATGCGGTATCGGTGGGACAGTATTCAGGGGGCTGAACACAGTACCCCTTGCAGCAATGGTCGTATGCCCACCTTTGGCCAAATGCAAGTGGATTTCATCCTCGTCGCCAGTACTATTGTGTGTCAGATGCGGCTTATGGAGAAATGCAAGGCGCGGCGCTCCAAGTGCGAGCCGAGGCAGAGGAGAAAGTGACACAGCCGTGACCCGGGCGGAAAGAGCTTATCTACGCAAGCATGTCTAATATATACATTTGTACAACGCCCTCTGTGGGGCTAGAGAACTGGTTCTGAAACTGTAACCAAAATCCCGACACCACATGAATTATTGCATGTCATTTGGCTTGTAGCGACGCGGCCGCCACCGCGCACCCCCGCGGTTATAGAAACCTTGCGGGGCAGCATTCCAAGCAATGCGCTGCTCTCCTCTCTGTTCCTCCTTCGTCTCTTTCACTCTTGCCACTTCTGGTGCACCGTGTGCACCTGCTCTATTTTCGACCCTCTGGTTCTCCCCTCCACCTCGTTCCCGAAAATGTCAGGTGACTGGAGACCCTGTGGAGACTACCGTTCCCTGAACGTAAAAGCTATTCCTGACCGGTATCCCCTGCCTAACATTCAGGATTTCACATCAGCTCTACATGGCACAACAGTGTTCTCTAAAATTGACTCAGTCAAAGCCTTTCACCTGATTCCTGTTGCTGCAGATGTTCCAAAGGCGGCAATTATCACCCCATTTAGCCTTTTTGAGTGCTAAATGCCATTTTTGAATGCCATTCGGCCTCCGCAATGTTGCACAATCTTCCCAGCGGTTCATTGACACGGTCATACGTGCTCTGCCGTTTGTGTTCACCTACGTCTACGACCTGCTGGTGGCAAGCTCATCCCATGAGGAGCACTTGCAACATCTCCGTGAACTTTTCCAGCGCCTGTCAGCCAACGGAATTGTTGTGAACACTGCAAAAAGTGAGTTCAAAGTGTCATCTTTTGATTTTATGAGTCATCGCTTGGACAGCAGTGGAATCAGCCCCCTTCCTAACAAAGTGCAAGCAATCGTCGAGTTCCCCAAGTCTACATCAATAACCAAGCTGCGGCAGTTTCTAGGGTTTGTAAATTTCTACCGCCAAT